CAAAACACAAGATGAAAGGCACTCAGATTTCCACCCCATATTTTTGGATACATGGCTCTGGAATCTGCTAAGACAATGTTCAAACCTGGCTCTAAAGAAAATCCTGATGGATCCAGCTAATCCTGGAAACCATTTCCAGGCACATTAAGGACAAGAAAATCATCAGTAGTAGTCAGCATGGCTTCATTCAGGGGAAGTCATGCTTGACCAAATTGACAAAGTTCTCTGATGTAACGACTGGCTTGGTGGATGAGGGGAGAGCAGTGGATGTTGTCTACCTTGAGTACAATAAGGTGTTTGACAGTATCTCCCATAAGATACTCATAGAGGAGCTGCTGACATATGGGCTGCATGAGCGGTGAGGTGGTCTGAAAACTGGCTGAAGAGCCAGGCTCAGAGGGTGGTGATTGGCGGCGCAAAGTCTAGGTGAAGGTGGGTAACTAGTGGTGTGCCTCAGGGGTTAATACTGCGTCCATTCCTGGTCTACCTCTTCATTAATGATCTGGATAACGGGGCAGAGTGTATCGTCAGGAATTTTCCCAATGACACAAAACAGAGAGTGGCTGATACACCAGAGGGGTCATGCTGCCATCCAGACAGACCTTGACAGACTGGAGAAAGGGGCTGACAGGAGTGTCAACAACAACAAAGGGAAGTGTAAAGTCCTGCACCTGGGGACAAACAACTCCAGGCACCAGTACACAAGCTGGAAAGTGGCTCGGCAGGAAAGCTGGGGTTCAGGGTGAACACCATGTTCAACTGGAGCCACCAGCGTGCCCTCGCTGCAAAGGCGGCTAACAGTATCCTGGGCTGCATTAAGGAAAGTATTGCCAGCTGGTCGAGGGAGGTGATCCTTCCCTTCTACTCAGCACTGGTGAGACACACCTGGAGGGCTGGGTCCAGTTGTGGGCTCCCCAGTACAAGAGAGGCATGGATATACTGGAGAGAGTCCAATGAAGGGCCACGAAGATAACTCAGGGGCTACAGCATTTCTCCTATGAGGAAAAGCTGAGAGAGCTGGGACTGTTTAACCTGGAGAAGGCTCAGGGGGAGATCTCATAAATGTGTATAAATACCTGAAGGGAGGGTGCGAAGAGGACAGAGCCAGGCCCTTTCAGTGGTACCCAGTCACAGGACAAGAGGCAATGGGCACAAACTGAAACACAGGAGGCTCCCTCTGAACATCAAGAAACACTTTTCGTTTCACTGTGAGGGTGACTGAGCACTGGAACAGGTTGCCCCAGGGAGAGATTACTTTCTTCCTTGAAGATATTCAACGGCCATCTAGACACAGTCCTGGGCGACTGGCTCTAGGTGGCCCTGCTCGAGAAGGAGGGGTGGACAAGATGACCTTCAGAGGTGCCTTCAGAGCTCAACCATTCTGTGATTCTAAGCATTCTCACTATTTTACAGAGAAGGAATAGAGGCACAAAGGTCAATTTAAAATGCTATCTGATTATTTTGGATGCCCAAACTGTGACCTAAATTTGCAGGACAGAAAGTATTACATGTCCAAAAAAACAACCATGGGTGCTGCCCCAGGGTTCAACATTTCTGAAAATTAATAACTGAAGTCTCAAATCAGGCACTCTGAAAATAGGTCATATCTATAGTTAGTGAGGAATTCTGAAAAGTTTCATTGTGTCTCACCCCAAAATTCAATGTACAGACAGCAGTGGTATAAAATACTGCAGAACAACGTTTAACATTTTAAATAGCCTGTGCTTTCTCTTTCTGCAATTACCTGCTTTATTCACTGTATTTTCAGCTAAGGAGAAGATCTGAGAGACAAGCTTGCTTCACTAGACAACACTGATTTACTCCCTAGAAAACTCTGCAAAGGTTGCAGCAAGGCTCCTACAGAAAAACACCACATGATAGTCTAATTAAAAACAATACTATGAGTTAAAAAAAATATACCAGGGTTTATTTGTTAAGTAGTAGAGACAACCTTAAGACACGCATTCCCAACTCTGAAATAAGTTACTTAACTTGTGTGAAAAACAAAAAGCACAATAGGGATTCCCATTGTGTGTCACAGGACATAGAAGTTGAACCACTGGGGGGACTACACTGCTGTTCCCTCCGCGGACAAGCACTGGAAAGAGACAGTGTGCCAAGTGTACATTATTTTGCTGACAAGAATAGGTAACACAAGACTTGGAAATCCCTAGTTCCATTCCAGACTCCAAAAGGGAAAAGGTTCTCTAGTGGGCACATACACTTTCTTTCCATCTTCTCCAACAAGACACCATTAACTGCACATTCTTTCTCTTCACTTTTGTCAGCCCCAAGTCTTAAGGTTTCTCATCCTAGACTCCTTCCCTACCATACTAAACTCCTAAATCCACATTTTCCATCTCAATCTCCTTTTACTTTCAATCTTTCTCCTGCTTCCAGCATTATTGTCCAAGTCCTAAATATTCTGTCTGTATAGCTGCTCACAGGTTCTAGTCACAGTGCGTGTCCAATAGCTCCAAGTCTTACCCACAATCTCTGAACTAGTCATCCAATTTTAAGGATCTTTCCAGTCTCTTTAACCACTTCATACTAGCTCTCTTCACTGGATGTCTCTGATCCTTATTCACTCCCTCCGCTCACTTTATTAATTTTCAGTCTCTGACTTCTTGCACTGCCCCAGCTTTCCATGGTGCCACCCCCACACTCAATTTCTCCATTCACTGACTCCCAGTCTTGCTGTTTCCTACTTACAGTCTCCTCTGATAACCAATCCTCCTTGCTGCAAATTCTTATCCAGCCAATATCCCTATTCTTCACTTGTCTCCTGGCTCTTTATTAAGTTTACTTTTCCTACCTATTTTACAATGATTATGCTGCCTCATCGAAACTGTAATCTCAGGATCCTCTCTTTATTGATCCTGCAAGTTAAAACCTCTCAACTTTCTTCTCAGTACATTCTCTGCCCACACCTACGCTGTAGTTCCTCTCAAATTCTGAAAAGTCTCCATTCAGCTTTAATGAATTGATTTTTTTTTTTGAGGCTTAAAATATGGTTAATTTGGACACATTTCCTGGGAACAATCAAAAGCATGCAGTAACACATAGATTGACATGCCTATCAAACATTAAGTCTCTACTGTACTGTACCAGCAGTATAGGACTTTTAAAATAAAATATGTGGATGTTAACGTGGACAAATAATATTTTTTCGAGGCTTCTCAGGAGTGGCTTCTCAGGAGTGGCTTAAACACTTTAGCCAAAGCATTAAAAAAAGTGAAGCTCACTTTGAATGAAATGTTTATTTATTCAAATGAAATGTTCATCTTGAATAAAATGTTTAAATCCAAATAACCAGAGTTTGAAATTTGTAAGTGACAGAAAACAATGTATTTTAATAGCATAAAGCAGTGCTAACAGTAGATGTCATTAGCTGCAGGTTAGCTTAATTTTCCCTTCACAAATGGAGCACTGCATTTGACAACAGATTACGTCAACTGCATCTGTAGAAAATAATAAAAGACTTCTAACACACTACAGTTGTAATTTTGTAAGTCAGAACACATTCCTTGGCACTGCAGGAATAATAAATAATTTCTTTACCTACCTCCTTTACTCCCACAATACAAAAAAGGTGCAACATATAATATAGGATATATACTATAAAGGATGTTTTCCTGATTCCATCGTCATCATCTTATGATGCTGAGAGGTGCCACTGCCACCTCAGCGGATCGTAAATATAGCTGATATGCTGAGACACTGCACATTGGTACCACCAAACATTGTTCAGCTGACAGTATGTACTGTCACTGAAACTCACTTGCAAGAGCTTTATCACATTTTAAAATGCAAAAACCTCACAATAACAAAAGAAAACAGATGTTTTGCACTTGAAATGTTAAATCTGTCAATAGTATATTTATTTGCATTCAACACTTTTACTTTCAATCCATAAGGAAAAATAAAGAAACAAGCAGTACTATAACAAATAGCATATTGAATTTTATTACAAAAACTGTATCTGTCACTCACCAATTTTTTCATTCAAAAGCGTAATTTTCTCTTGGGTAAGTTGCATTTCATATTTTTTCTTAACAAGGCTTCGCTGAGTCTCTGAAAGGCTCTGTTCTGTCTTTTCATTCAATAAACTGGAAAAGCAGAAGCATTAAACAGGAGAATTCAGAAGTTTATATGGGTTTTTTTCCCCTTTTGAAATGTCACTAAAACTGCAAAAGTTAAGAAAAAGCAAGATTCTTCTGTATATTTTAGCCTTTTTGGGATATTTTATTAATGTTAACCTTAACCTCTAGATAGTAAAGTCTGAATACTCCTGTAAAGAATCCCAGAAAACTAAGAAGCATTCTTTACAACAGGTAAAGTGGTAAAAACTTCTCAGAAATTATTAAAATAAAAATCATCACTTGGGACATACAGTGGAATGCTTGACCTATTTCAAGTTATACCCAGGTCATACGTTCAAATCAAGTAGTAATACTAATGATTCTCAAACTGTTGAAGAAACTGAAGAGAACTATCAGTCTGGTTTGAGGGGAAAAGAAAAAGATATTTTAGTAGCAGCAACTAATCTTCAACAACTCAATTTTCACAGTGTTCGTAATTCTGACAACTTATTATAAAACAGTAATAACTCAGGACTGGATTTGCAAAGGAGTTCATGTTATTTTAGGAACCAGAGCATCCTTAGAAAGGCATTGTGGGCCAGCACAGTATTGCAGGCTAGCACCCAGCATTCCTGACAATCAGCATCCAACAAAAAACCCCTGCAACACCCATGTGTTGACTACACCAGTCACTTGTAAAGACACATAGGTTTAGGAGAGTGTTTGCCTAACTGAACTATATTTAGGGAAACACAAAAGGAAAAAGTCACAGTATCTTCTCTTGCAGTCTGTTCACTCTGTAGCCTAGTTCAGTCTGTGACCTAGTCCTTCTTATCTTGCTGCATGAACTTCACACTTATTTGATCTTTCCCTCCAGTCAGTAAGTTATCCTTTTTTATTTTGCACTCACTGCCCTATGCTTTCTTCCCTAAAGGCTTCGACTGAGTCTGGTTCCACTACATGCTTCTGAACACGGCTAGGAACCGGTTAGCTGAGCAGCGGGCCATAAACCCTATGCAAGGCTCCAGTTTTATCTCCTCTCATGAAAAGCTCCAAGATTACAAAAAGGATGTTTCAAACTAACTACATGTGACACTCATTAGTTTATGCAAGTTTGCTTGCTTCTATAAAAACAACAGTAAGAAATTAATTTTTTTAAAATTAATATGCTATTTACCAAAAAACATCAATCCCTGCAGCTTCTAATGGAAAGCTCCTAACTACAAGTCAGAGTGAATTTTACTTTTTCACTGAAGACGGTTTTCAGCACAACATAATATCAAGAAGCCACGAACATTTACATATAAATAAGCAAAGAAGGGTGGCTCATAAGAAAAACTATCGTAAATTCCTCTCCCTTTGAGCTATGTAACAGTTATGAAAACCAACGGACATAGGCTGATGCTACTCATCAAACTAACGCAGTTATATACTTTTACTTACCTAAGTGAAACATACTCAGCTTCCTGTCGGCTGAGCTCAGTTTCAGAGTCCAGTGCTCTTCTTGCCAATCTTTTCATCTCAGTTTCCAGAGAATCAATGGTATCTTTCATTAGTGCCACTTCGGACATCTGTTCTAACCGTTCACTATCTAACTATAAATATAATTAAACATTCAAAGCCAAAAAAAGATGATTTATACATAGAATTTGTCCTATTAATTCAAATTCTACTCTGTTGTTTGCACAGATCTTTTACTGAAGGAGAAATGTCCAAGCATCTCATTTACTCAGGGCCTGACTCCAAGTCTACTGAAGGTAGTTGGCAAAGGGCCGAAATGTGATTTTCACTTCCTCTGAAGGACAATCAATTTCCTGTCTTTCAGATCTCTGGGAATATTTTCATTTATTAATGTAAAGTGTAAGTTGGTAATTATGGCCAAGGGCAAAAATGTTTGGCATGGATCAACATTAAAAGTTTTCAGTGCAAAATAACGTAACAGAAAACATTATTATGAGTGTACAAAGGGAGAAATTACAGTTCAGCATACAACATTACCAATGATGGATTTATGCCTCTACTAAGTTATATCACTATGCTGATAACTGGCAAGAGAAATTGCTCTAAAACATTTGCATAAAGCACTATATGATGAAGTTACCACCATGAGGCCTTTAGGTCTGGACCTAGAACAAAGAACAGGTCCAGAAACTTGAAGAGATTCCAGCAAAGCTACTTTGACATCTCCAGTTCAAAGAAAGCTGCGTCTCATCATTAAAATGCTTACACTTAACATTTAAAGAACTGTCCTTTCTAAATTACTTGAAACAGCTCTTTTAAGGTAAAAAATTCTCAACTCATCCCTCTCCTCATTCACTGATTCTTTCAGTATTGATTTCTGTGTTGCTATAATCAATGGTCAGACTGCTAAAGAACAAGGCAGTGAGCCTCTGGTATGCAGTAACTTTTTTAATACTAGTGCCATAAATATCATATCGATGTATACCCCTGAAAAGGTATCAAATGAACTGAAGAAATGAGATGATGTACCTAAAACAGGACTGTTCCCAATATTCATCACACATCATGTCAAACATGATTAAAGCTAATTTACAGCTCAGAGTACTCAGAACTATTTAAGCCTACAGAGTATTCTTCATATAATCCTTGGAAATACACTTATAAGCTTGGTAGGATTTAAAAGGCTGAAGGGGAAAAGAAAATGAAGCAGAATTTGTAACCACCAGATCTGGAACAAAAATACACTACAGAAATCAATGTTAATCTATTTAAAAATCAAGTTCTACCAAGACTATAAACATATTTAAGATTTATATTTATTTTATTAATGTTTTTATTTTCTATTTTAGCACCATATGTTAGCAAACAATTGCACATGCAAGTAACATAAGCCACATTAAATAGGACTTGCCAGAACAGTACAATTAGACCTGGTTTTGGAGCATCAGGTCTTAATAAAATGCAGTCCTAAGACAATTCACACTGGAACGGACTCCAGGTCTCTAGTCTAAACTTCTGCTCAAAGAAGGGCCAGCTCCGAGGTCAGGTTGCTCACGGCTTTGTCCAGTCTGGTCTTGAAAATCTCCAAGGCTGGAGACTGCTCAACTGTCCTCACGTGAAGAAAGTACTTCCCTGTATTTGGCCTGAACCCTCCTTGTTTCAGCTGATGCCCATTGTTGCTCATACTTCCACCATGCACTGCTGTGAAAAGCCTATTTCTGACTTCTTGATGAGTACTGGCCTGCAGGACTTAGGTCCCTCTTAAGCCACCTCTACTCCAAGTGGAACAAGCCCAGTTCCAGCAGCCTTCTCTCATACAGAAAGTGTTCCAAACCCAAGTATTATAGGAGCCCTCTATTAATCTCGCTCCAGTTTAGCAATGTTTTTCTTGTACTGTGGTGGCAAAACTGGATGTGGTATTCCAGGTGTGGTCTAATGAGTGCTCAGCAAAGAGAGACAATCACTTCCCTTGAGTTACTGGCTCTGTCCTGTTCACACAGCCTAGTACAGTCTTGACCTTCTTTGCCACTGCTGGCTCATGTACAGCCTGCTCTACACCAGGGCTTCCAGGGCCTTTTCAGCAGAGCTGGTCCCAAGCCATTTGTTCCCAACTTGTACTGCTGCCAGTGGCTCTTCTTCCCAAATTCAGAACCTGGCATTCATCCTTGCTGGACCTCATAAGGTTCCTGTCGTCCATTCTTCCTACCTGTCTTGGTCTCTATGATGACACCCCTTTTTTGCTGTTCAATATATTTATCAATGACATGGACAGCGACATCGAGTGTACCCTCAGCAAGTTTGCAGATGACACCAAGCTGAGTGGTACAGTCGAGACACCAGAAGGACGGGATGCCATCCAGAGAGACCTGGACAAGCTGGAGAGGTGGGCCTGTGTGAACCTCATGAGGTTCAACAAGGCCAAGTGCAAGGTCCTACACCTGGGTCGGGGTAATCCCCGCTATCAATACAGGCTGGGGGATGAAAGGATCGAGAGCAGCCCTGCTGAGAGGGACTTGGGGGTACTGATAGACGAAAGGCTGGACATGAGCCGGCAATGTGCGCTGGCAGCCCAGAGGGCCAACCGTGTCCTGGGCTGCATCAGGAAAAGCGTGGCCAGCAGGTCGAGCGAGGGGATTCTGCCCCCCCACTACAAAAATGATCCGAGGGCTGGAGCACCTCTCCTATGAGGACAGGCTGAGAGAGTTGGGCTTGTTCAGCCTGGAGAAGAGAAGGCTGCGGGGAGACCTGATTGCAGCCTTTCAATACTTAAAGGGAGCTTACAGGAAAGATGGGGACAATCTTTTTAGTAGAGACAGCAGTGACAGGACAAGGGGTAATGGTTTTAAACTAAAACAGAGTAGGTTTAGGCTGGATATAAGGAAGAAATTCTTTACAATGAGGGTTGTGAAACACTGGAATGGGTTGCCCAGAGAGGTGGTGGAGGCCCCATCCCTGGAAACATTCAAGACCAGGTTGGACAGGGCTCTGAGCAACCTGATCTAGTTAGTGGTGTCCCTGCTCGCTGTGGGGGGGTTGGACTAGATGACCTCTAGGAGTCCCTTCCAACCCAAAACTTTCTATGATTCTATGATTCTTGAGTACATCAACAGTTTTCCCTAATTTGGTGTCATCTGCAAACTTTGTGAGCGCACATTCTGTTACCTCCTTCAGGGCACTGATAAAGATATTAAACAGGACAGGCCTCAGAACAAACACCTCTGGTGCTCCACGTTAATGCTCTTCAGGCCAAGCATGACATGCTACCTAACTGCTACCTGCTAAGACTGACCATCCAATCAAATTTCCCCCCATCTAGCTGCCCACCCACCCAGACATTAGCATCCTAACCTGGATACAAGAACACTGTGGGTAACCGTGTCAAAAGCCTTGCTATAGTCTTAGTAAGGAACATCCACTGCTCTATGCCTGCTTTTTCCTGATAGAAAGCAGTCAGGCTGGTCCTGCAGGATTAACCATAAACATCACCTGTATTACATTTAAAATTCCGTAAATAACTATTTTCACTTACATTTTGAATAGTAGTTTCTAGCTCTTCAATTCTCTGTTCCAAATGAGCTTTTTCATTAAACGCAGTCTGTTGGGAAATCTGTATCAAATAACAACAACAAAACCACATATAGAACAAGTCTGAACTCACCACAAACATGTAATGCAATTAACTCTCAGGATTAGAACAAAAATCTTTAGCAACTTGAATTACACCACTAAGTAATTTTCATGTTAAAATAACCTGGAGGGGGGGAAGAATCAAACCTTTAACTGCTCCCTGAGACTATCACGTTCCGTAGTCATCCTTCGGAAATCTGACAGTGCTGTATCCCTTTCTATCTCCACATGTCTTAACACAGCTTGAGCTATCACAGTACTTTTAGGAGCTCTGGGGCATCTGATAACTTCCTGACGAAGTCGAGAGATCTCTTCCTGCGCCTGTTTTTCAAAAACAGCAGCATAACAGAAACATGGAATAGATAATGTGATATGTTACTGTAGCATATGGCTGGTAATGCAGAGCATCCCAGAAACTGTGCAATATCAAAGGTGAAATAATGATTTGTGCATATATTGTCTGACTCAGGAAAGCATTAACTCAGGACAGCACTTACAAACCTCTATTTAACTGACAGATGCAAACCACAGAACTTCCATAACTTTTTTTTCTATTTTTTTTAAACAAATGCTTTGCATTTTTTCTTTTTCACAGAAAATCAGGATTTTTTTTCCTGCACATCACTTTAAGTTATTTTAATTAATCACACAAATATAAATGAAATTACCTGTTCATAAAGATTGACAATTTTGTCTCTCTCAGCTCTTAAAACTTTGAAGTTACCCTGAATTTCTGCCACATAGCGCTCATATTTTTTCAGCGTTGACTTAAGTTCTTCACGTTCTCTCAATATTTTCAAAACTTTTGGATCAGAACGTGCTCCCTTAAAGAATAAGGCGAAACAAGGTTAAAGCAGAGAAACAAAACTTGATATGCTTTCTTATTGTATCTGGTTTGGAATTTTCTGCAAAAGATTTAACAAGCTTTCAACCTAGTAACCTCTAGACAGTCAAGACTGCACATACATATTTCTTAGCATTAGAGACCAGATATACATAACATTTTCTAAAATACACAAAATGCACTGAATTATTTTGAGCAGCAAATGTCTATCACAAATGGTACTGACAATCACGTTAATAATTACGTGAAATGTAAGCAGTTGTCAGTAACCATTCAAAGTGACATACATGCATGCAGTGTAAAGTGGCAGTTGAGTTCACATTATTGGCCCATTCCTATCTCATGCCTCCTTCTGTTTATAACCAATTAATTTTACTTCCTGGTAATTATGGCTTTGGTAATTTAGTGTAAAATAAACCAACATTTAAAAAAATAAATTCCTGCTTTTCCAGAGTGTCTTCCAAGCTCACCTGCATGGACGAAAATTTTTTGGACATGCTGCCACAGCAGACGTACGCCTAGGACTTGAAAATGCGTTTCTAAATACCTTCAGCAGATTCTCAGCCTCACTTTTATAGTAGTCTACACATCCTCTTCCAAAGTCTTAATAAAGGTATCAAGCCTTGAGGGTGACTTCCCTTGCTTTATTTCAGCTTCTGTTTGTAAAATAACCTGCACATGCAAAACTTAGAGAATTCATTCACCGAAATAGAATTTTTGTAATTAATGATACTTCAGGGTAAAACAGCTAAACATACTCTTTAAAATGAAGATGAAGTAGATATCTAGTTAAAATAAATATCCATTTAATACTTTGAAGTCACTTCTGAATGTCTGTATTTTCTCATTTTTTGTTGTATCACAGAATATGTCTGAATATCCTTCTGAAATTGATCTAACAGGACAGAAAAGGACATGAAAGCTAAATGTTAATTAACTTGGAATCTATCTGTTCACAACTAAGGAGGAGAATTAAGTAGGTTTGTATTGAAATATCTAATGAACTTTTAAATATAAAAAAAAAATAGGCCATTATGTTTTTTTAAGGTCCATGAAAGGTGAATTTTTGAAATGGAAATAAAGTGCAAATAAATATAAGTGAAATCCAGAAGGTCACATAGGGGCCTAAAACAGATTTTGAAGGTGAACTGCAATTCCAAAGTTCAGAACTGCACACCAAATCCCTCTCGGTTACAATCTATCTGTTGGAAGTACCTGGACTGGTGGAAGTTTAAGCACGCAGGGAATACTAAACTCTGCAAATTTCTGATTTTTATTAAGACACATGCAGAAGCAAGTCTTTAAATCCCTGAAAACTTATAAATTAATCACTTAAATCTCTCAGTGAATCTAGCTATCAAGTCCCAAACTTTCTGGCTGAAGGATTAAAATCTTTCAGGGGCAATTAAGTTCTACAGGGTCAGAGTGTTTTTTTTCCAGTGGGGGTTCTTTGCAGGATGGTGGCATAAGGTCAAATATATTTTACACTAGGAAGAAAAAAAACAAACTCTCCCTCTCCTGAAATTTGAGACAAATCTTTGAATCACAGTAAAAAATTATTATCTTGAACACATAAAAACATCCCCTACCATTTTATACTGGAAGCAAGTGAATTAGTCCACTTAATATTTTCAAATGTTAATTTAAGTTAGATTTGCCACTGGAAAATATTTCTACAATTACAACGCTGTACACATTTCAAAATATCCCAACAGTATCATAACACCTTAAGGAAGACAAAATATTAAGAAAAAATGTTAAATAAAAGAATGTTCCTTCTTTCTGTTTTGCGAGTGATTTACAAGGTATTCAAAACAGTTATATGCAATTTCGTAAAAAAAATTATTAAGAGTCTCAAAAGCATAATCATTACAGGCTAGCTGCAAAACAGAAACAGATTCCCACCCATATAGAGACAGAGAACTACAAGTGAAAACAGACATGTTTATCCATTCTATGACTTGTCTGTTATCACTGAAAACAAAGTGAAATTCATGTCTATAAGTATTCATTTCATGTGGAAATGGCCTGATTTCATACATACACGTATATTAAGGATACATGTTTAACTCACAGATTTTAGTGTTTTCACTGTGTGTTCCAGTTTCTTTATCTTGTTCTGCTGGTGTCGAATTTAAATCAACCATAAAAATACTGATGAGATGCATTAATTTTTATTATCATTAATGTCAATCCAGCATTTTAGCTCAACTGTTCTAGTCCAAAGGAGCATTTTGTACATGTTTTCTAGTTTGACTGGGCTGAAAACATAACATTTAGTAACAATAAACTTAATGTGGAAGGGAATCAGTTTAAAGTTTTGTCTTCAGATGAAGTCCAGGGTTAGGAAAAACAGTAACAGTTGAGTTACTCCCAGGTGAGTGAATGAAAAAGGAAGCATGGGATACCTTTTCCCAGAAAGGTCTTACCGAGAAACTTTTGAAGACAGGGACAGTTTGACTATACCTATGGGGTAAAGAAATAAGTATGTAGTTACACTAACGGCAAATAAAGAATATGCTTTCTCCCATCTGACCATCACCACTAAATCATGTAATTGCATGTGCATAGAATGCATTTTCCATTATCCTGTGAAATCCAAAGCAATTTTCACTTTAATAACATTCTTTCCAACCGCAAGTGTGATTTTATTCCTTGAACCATTCTACACTTGAAAAATACCACAGTTGCCAGAACCTACTCCTCCTTCATCCCAACAAATACACTTCAAAGCAGAGATGAAAGCTAGAAATTCAGCCCAAAAGGCCAAAAAAACACCGAAAACAGTTTCCCATAATATTAGCAAACAACATTAAAATATCACTGCACAACATTAATTCAAATAAGTAGATACCTTTGCTTCCTCAAGCTCCTTATCAGCAGTATTCAGTAGCAATTCTTCTTCCAGCTGCTCAGATAGCTTGCCAATTACAGCAAGTTGCTTACACAGATGATCATTTTTGCAGGTGAACCTATCCACTTGACTTTCCAGTTGTGTGACATGTTGCCTTAGTTCATGGTTTATCTTCAGATCTTCAATCTATGAAGACAAGAAGGAAGAAAGTATTTTACCTCATCTTCAAAGATTTGAAGGGATGATTTTGTAATAGGAAGTAATTAACACTTAAAAACAAAAAAGTCATTCACAAATGAGGAATATGCACACTCCTAGCACCATTCTAAACAGATTAATTTTGAAGTGTTCTGGACAATGGAGAATCTAATCCTTAATGTTTATGCTAGAACCTGTCTCAAGTTGGGCGAATATGCTTTCTCCCATCTGACCATCACCACTAAATCATGTAATTGCATGTGCATAGAATGCATTTTCCATTATCCTGTGAAATCCAAAGCAATTTTCACTTTAATAACATTCTTTCCAACCGCAAGTGTGATTTTATTCCTTGAACCATTCTACACTTGAAAAATACCACAGTTGCCAGAACCTACTCCTCCTTCATCCCAACAAATACACTTCAAAGCAGAGATGAAAGCTAGAAATTCAGCCCAAAAGGCCAAAAAAACACCGAAAACAGTTTCCCATAATATTAGCAAACAACATTAAAATATCACTGCACAACATTAATTCAAATAAGTAGATACCTTTGCTTCCTCAAGCTCCTTATCAGCAGTATTCAGTAGCAATTCTTCTTCCAGCTGCTCAGATAGCTTGCCAATTACAGCAAGTTGCTTACACAGATGATCATTTTTGCAGGTGAACCTATCCACTTGACTTTCCAGTTGTGTGACATGTTGCCTTAGTTCATGGTTTATCTTCAGATCTTCAATCTATGAAGACAAGAAGGAAGAAAGTATTTTACCTCATCTTCAAAGATTTGAAGGGATGATTTTGTAATAGGAAGTAATTAACACTTAAAAACAAAAAAGTCATTCACAAATGAGGAATATGCACACTCCTAGCACCATTCTAAACAGATTAATTTTGAAGTGTTCTGGACAATGGAGAATCTAATCCTTAATGTTTATGCTAGAACCTGTCTCAAGTTGGGCTGCCACTACAGTTATTCTCCCATAGTACTGTGAGAGAAAATGTCTCCGATCACTTAAGGCTTTATAGACTCAAAACTCAATAGCATACTATCAAAAAATACTCACAGCCATAAAAAAAAAATCATAAGTTACAAACAACCTCTGCTCTTGTCTTGTAATTGCATTCTGCTCTAGCTCATGACAGTTGTTCCAGCAATATAAACCAGGGAGGAGAACGCTACAGTTTAACTTCTTTTTCGTATTTTACCTATATCAAAATTAAAGGAATACATGATAACAAGAAACACTGTTTTGGTTTCGGCTGCCGCCGGCAACAAAAGCGCCACGCGGCCCCCACTCCCCCCGCCAGCGTGCGGAGGAGAATGAAAAGAAACAGGCAGAAAGTGGTGGGTGGGGATAAGGGCAGTTTAACAGAACACCGGAACCCAGCGTGACGTCACAGGGTATGGAATACCGGGCTCTGTTTGGCCAGGTGGGGTCAGCCCCCACCCCCCAGCTGTGCCCCTTCCTGGAGTCCGGTGAAAATTAACCCTGTCCTGGCCAAACCGAGGACAAACACAAACATAACTTGCAAGTTATCTCCATCTATCCGCATCCTCTCAAATACAGAGCAAGGCCAGAAACACTTGTAAATGTTAAAATTCTGTTCAGTTCAGCTGAACATAGGGATATGGAGCTAGTTATCATCAACTCACAGGGCTGCCACTCATGTTTCCTCACAAATCCACAAACACTTTGAAGTACAAGAAGGAAGAGGATGGAGCGGTCTCCGGCAGTTTTCTCAGAATAACTATGATAAAGTAGGGTCGCTGGAATGAGTCCCTCAGCCAAAGATGAACGAGCCAGAGTGAGACAGGGCAAGTGGCAAGCCCTCACAGTCCGCTCTTCTTACAATACGGGAAGTAGCCCACAGGTCTAACAACAGAATATGAACATTCAGTTACCCACCAGCAGGAAGTTATCACCACCAGGATGACCACAAGAGTTTCTCTTCATGCCCAGATTCAAGAGTTTCAAGTAGATTTTGCACAGCCGGTTTGCTGAGTTACTTCGCTACCACCTCCAACTTCAGCTGAAACAAATCTCTGCCACCAAGTATCAGCCTGACCACCAGCCTCGAGGTGTTTTTAAGCACCAATATAAGTTACAGTTTTGTTTATGAGTATGCTGACTTAATTTTGGGTACCTACAAAGAGGCACGTCTAGAAAGTGATTCCCACAATCGATTTTAGGCATTCATCCTAAAATTAATCATGCCCCAGGAGTACCTCTGGCAATAAAGACAGCCTAGACATCTCTGTTAAAGCCATCATCAGTGCTGACACGTCCAATCAGACAGGGTGAATCCCATCCTAATGTTCTGTTCTCTCTGAAAGAGGCACTTACAGTTTTGTCCGGTTACATGCACTGCCCTAATCTTTCCAGAAAGGGAAGGGAACAAATCAGAGTCATTCGCAAGCTATCGGTACCTTCTGTTCCTCGCTGAGCACTGACGACTCAAAATTAGATAGAATACATAGCACTCGCTCACTCATCATACTACTTTTACTCAACTTGGGAAAGAGAACTTCTTAGGAGGCAGGATAATATTTGTATTTCCTGAAATAGCTTTTATGTGCACTTGCTGCGAAGTGGTAAGGCTCCGCTGCCGCCGCTGACACGCC